AAAGCTCAGCGGGGTAGCTCAGGCCTTGCATGTAAATAGTTCCAGAGTCAAGCCCTGGCATCTTCAATTTGGGTAGGAGGTGATGAGAAAGACGTTTCTGTCTGAGTCCCTGGGAGCTGCTGCCAGTCAGAACAGACAATATTGGGATAGATGGACAAATAGTCTGACCTGGTTTAAGGCAGCTTCCTATGTAAATCCAACTTGTCATTTACACACTAAGATTAAAACAAGTAGTCTTGGGGCACCTGAAAGGCTAACACATTTATTATGGCATAAACTTTCGTGGACTATAAACATCAGGTGCATTTAGTGTTTTCCTGATACATAACTATCTTCTTCACCCTGTGCCAGTGATAGGCAATGTGGTGCCCTCCTGATATCATTGAACTCCAGTGCCCATCAGCATTAGCGGCCATGGCCAATGGTCAGGGATGATGGGATTTGTAGTCAAACAGCATCAGGAGGGCATCTTCTTGGTGGCTGCTCCCAGACTTTCAATAGATTTTATAGTTTTATATATAGTATAGTTTTAATTCTATCAGTGCTTCCTTGTGTTTTAATTATTGCTTTTTTCTGTCTTTTTAGCAGTTCTTTTTTTTTATCTGTAAGCTGGTTTTAGTCCCATCAGGGGAAAAGGTGGGGTATAAATAAATATAGTTATAATGTTGGCTACCCTTGCCCTACCTCTTGACATTTCTGTGCTGAAAATCCTATATACTTTCCACGGAAAATTAGAGTGGGGAAACTAGTTAAATCTTCCACTGGAAGTACCAACCAATAAGGGCTGTGACAGAAGGAGTCTGGCCTTTTTCTATCTCTATGTTGTATAGTCAAGGTTTTTCACAATGTAGCCAAGTGCTGTCTAGTTTAGTGACAGTGGCTTTTTAGAATCTCGGACAGAGACTTTCCCCATTACCTGCCACCTGATCAGAGACCCTGGTCTTTTGTGTATTTTCTTGGTATTTAAAATAAATCCTAAACCCTGGTCATCACAGCACTCACTATTCAAAATGAGGCACTCACTATAGTCCAACAGTCAATCCAGCAATTTGGATTAAGAACACTTAAATTGACTTTGAAACTTCCTATTGTTATTTACATGATGTGTCTGGTTGTTGTAAATGAGGGCAAGAAAGCAGAGTCATAGAAACGTAAAGCTGGAAGGGACCTCAAGGGTCATCTAGCCCAACCACTTGCAATGCAGGAATCACAGCTAAATCATCCATGACAGTTGGCCATCCAACCTCTGCTTAAAAACCTCCAAGGAAGGAGAGATGTATCTGTGACATGAGTCAGCATTCTGACCAATGCAGGACTGCATTCACCCAGAGGCAGATTTTGGGAACGGTGACCGGTTCAGTCACACTGTGTGCAGAGCCTTGGCGACAATTATGATTTAGAATGGAGCATGAGAGGCAGAGCACCAAATTTCGGTGTCACAAAGAGTGCCGCTGAAATTTGAGACCCGGAGATCTGCCACTTCATTCACATCGCAGTCTGGTTGAACTGATCCATTTTAAGCTCCATGTGTGACAGTGGTTCAACTCTAGCAAAGTCCTAATGCTTGAGGCCAGAATGTTAGCACCCACAGAACCGTTTAGATTCTTCTTTCTGTGGAAAAATATGGCGAGAAATTACATTGATCAATGTGATGATTCAATATACAGTCATACCTCTTATTACGTTTGCTTCAGGTTACATCTTTTCAGGTTGCGTCCTGCGGTGACCCGCAGAAAGGGTTACTTCTGGGTTTCGCCGCTTGCGCATGCACAGACGTGCAACATGACGTCATGCGCATGCGCAGAAGCGGCAAATCGCAACCCGTGCATGCGCAGACGCTAGTTGCGTTCCTTTCAGGTACATAGGCGCCGACTCCATGGGGCCTGAGGGGGCCCGAGCCCCCTCAAAAATTCGATGGGGGGGCAGAGCCCCCCCAATAATTTGAGAAAATTATTAGTGCGCGAACCTTCGTGTAAAGTCTGGCGGGCCAGCGCTGCGGCCGCAGCGACATCAAAAGGACTGGAGAGTCCCGAGGAGATTGCACGGCGGGGGAGAGAGAGAGGGAGAGAGAGGCAGGAGGTGCACTCGCTCGCCGCGCACACGCAAATACAAACACACCGAGGGAGAGGGAAAAGTGTTTTGCAGGAGGAGCTGCTGCCGCCGCCGCCGCTGCTGCCAGGACGCGCCAGAGGAGCCGCCGGGTGGGAGGGGGAATCCGAACGGAACAACAACAAGAGAGAAAGAGAGAGAAGCAGCAGCGTCTCTGAATGGGCTGGATATTCCTCCTCAGGCGGCGCTGGCTCTGTGGCTCCCGGGGCCTGGGCGGCAGCAAGCAAAGCAAAGGAGCCGCCGACCGAACAGCAGCAGCAGCCGCCTGCCTGCCTGCAAGCCTGCCTTCTATACCAATGTCCAGGTTCTTACCCGGTCTACCTGGAAGAAGGCAGGCAGGCAGGCAGGCATGGGACGTCCACGCACCCTGGCCTGCTGCCTTCCTGCCTGCCTGCGGCCGCCTGGCGCTTCTATACGAAGGTACAGGTTCCTACCCGGTCTACCTGGAGGGAGGCGGGCAGGCACGGGGGTCCTGCTCAAGCAAGGAACCGACGCCTACCCGGCCAACCCGCTGCCTTGAGGCAGGAGCAGCAGCTGCGCGGGGTCTCGCGTTCTCTCAGAGGCTCGCGCTGCTTCTCGCGTTCTCCCTCCCCCAGGACCCCGGTATGGGCCCCCCCAATATTTTTTATAAGTCGGCGCCCCTGTTCAGGTAGCGAACGGGGCTCCGGAATGGATTCCGTTCGCAACCAGAGGTACCACTGTAGATTAAATACTGAGGGAGGGAAATGGGGGTAGATACAACAACAAAACTATCACAAAGGAGTAATGTGACATAAAAAGGGCAAAAGGAATCAGAGGAGAATCTGGCAAGGTATGTTTAAGTTTCTGAAGCTTATCGCTTTGTGATAAAGAGTGGGTTTCCCCTCTCCAGGAACGATGCAAAATTTTACCTCAGATAGTACTAATGCTATGACATTTGCCTGCAGAGCTCCTGCTGAACTAGCATTCTGAAAAGTTGGAAGCATCAGATAGAACTGCCATCAGCTATCAGATTAAATGTTTCCTATGGCATCCAGATAATCAAGGTTATGTTAGACTGAACATTTCCTTGTGGGCAACTGCAATCAGATAAGGTAGGTAAACATGCGTTCTTCTTTTACATTTTGCTCCACCGAAGGCTGAGCAAAAATACAAACTACATTTCACACTTAATAATAATAATTATTTTATTAATTGCACCTGCCCATCTGACTAGGGGCTGAATCTACACACAGGAAAAAACACTATAAATAAGTTACAAATTAAATCATAACGAAAGGAAAAAAACTTTATGTAAAATTGCATAGACAATGTTTTTAGCTCTACAGCACCATCTGGTGTCACATGTTTATGACACAGTTTTTGCATTGTAAGACGAGTAATGTAGCTGAGTCCTGGGTTGCCCCAGCCATTCATAGCAGAATGGTGTTGAAAAGCTTCCCCTTCATAAGCAGTTTAATAACAGGCTTCTGAATCAGATCAGACCATATATTTTTCATAACCTATTTTGCTTGGTTCTTGTTTTACTCCTACTTGCATGGTAGTGTATACATCTATGTACTGTGCAACTTTCATTAATACTAACATGTCCTGCTTTAGGAACTTCCCATACTTGAGGGTCAAACTAGACAATACCTAAGACATGCATAAACTACAATCAAACCTCAGTCATCAAACATAATCTATTCTGGAAGTCTGTTCAGCTTCCGAAATGTTCGAAAACTGAGGTGCAGCTTCCGATTGGTTGCAGCAGCTTCCTGCACTCAAACGGAAGCCGCGTCGGACGTTCAGCTTCAGAAAAGCATTTGAAAAGCAGAGTGTTTACTTCCGGGTTTTCGGCACTCGGGAGCCGAAATGTTCCAAAATGGAGGCGGTCGGGATCCGAGGTTTGATTGTATCTCTCTACTCTTATAAACACACAAAAACACACACATACCAGCACCCACGACATACATTTAAAGCACTATAATAACACTCTAATACCATGGTTTGCTAAGGGTGCTGAGAGTGGTTAGGATACTGCTATTCCTCCTCACAGAGCTACAATTAGAGTTCCCTTGGAAAACTGGAAACCATCCAGGGAATTGCAGGTGTGTGAGGGGAATAAGGTTCTCCTAACACAGTGTTTCTTCACTGTTGTTGGACTACAACTCCCATCATTCCTGACCACTGGTCCTGCTAGCTAGGGATGACAGCAGCTGTAGTCCAACAACAGCTAGAGAGCTGAGCTGGAAAAATACTGTCCTAACAACTCTCAATACCCCTTACAAACTACATCTCCCATTATTATTCGGGGGAAGCCACGCCTGTAAAAAGTGGTATCATAGCACTTTAAATGTATGGTGCGGATGTGACAGAGACGAAGTCAGGCAACATCAGAGCAAGACTGGTGGAAACTGGAGGAAGGGACTGCCCAGAGGCTGAATGTCATTGCCACATTCAAAATCACTCTCACAGCTGCTTTTTCTCGCCCACGGGGGGGATATGCAAAGTCACTGTATTTTTTCTCTGTGAGAAGAAAATTTACTTGGAAAGCAGATAAACGATATGAGGGGGGAAGGAGTCAAGCAGTCAATCCTCTGCTAAAATGGGCAGCCCCTTTCAGTAAAAAGACAAATCAAAACACAAAACAGTTCACACATCCCACAAGTATTATTTAGTCTGCTACAAGTGGAATTTTGGGACCATGGCACCTCACCCCAAAACGCCTTAGTTCAATTGCCAGGCCCAGGCACAGATCGTGAACCGCCCCGAGATCTACAGGTATACAGTGGTATACAAATTTGACTAATAATAAATGGATCTAAATAATCCGAGTGCTGTTGTTAGAACAAATAATCAAGCTTTAATTATCTCTGCATTCCATTTTTGCTACTTATTTTTAAAATATCTCTTTACAGAAAACTGTCATAATGGCGAACTGCAGTGGCAGGATTGAGCAGGGCATACTTACTTTTGAAATTATTCTTTACAGCCTACTCACCTTTTTCGGAGTCATATTTAATACAGTTGCCTTGTGGGTTTTCTGCTTCAAACTGGGCAAATGGACAGAGACCAGAGTTTACATGATCAATTTAGCCCTGGCAGACTACACGCTGGTCCTTATCCTACCATTCATCATGTACTTTCACTACAACAACTGGCCTGTGGATGACTTTTGCTCTGTCATATTCGGAATCAGTAGCATGAACATGCCAATGAGCATAGGCATCATCATGCTAATAGCGGTTGATCGGTACCTTGCCATCAAACATCCCCTGAAAGCCAAAGTAATCAGGTCTCCACGGAAGGCAGCTCTTTTCTGCTTATTTGTTTGGCTCTGTTGCTTGCTTTATACAATCCCATTCAGTCTCTCGTTGAAAGGAGAGTTTTGTTTTCATATACTTTCTAAGGAGAACACAGCTCTTACCCTGGTCAGATTAATCGTTTTCTTTTTCATACCACTGGTTATATTGTTGTTTTGTTCCGTACAAGTCATCCGATGCCTCAGGAAGAAACATAATGCTGGTCCTCATGAAGAAAAGTTAACCCAGAAAGCCATCTGGGTGGTCTCAGTCAACTTGGCCACCTTCATTATATGCTTCCTGCCTTTCCACTTGAGTTTACTGTTTAGCTACGTAGCAAAATCATTTGGAGGAGCTGACTGCGAGGTGTGGCAAGCCATTGCCAATACCATACACGCAACTGCATTAATGACCAAGCTAAATTGCTGCTTGGATGCTGTGTGCTATTACATGGTTGCTAAGGAATTCCAGGAAGCTGCAGCACTCTTGCCTCCCTTCAACGTAATGCAATCCAGGTCCAATTTAACTCAAGATTCACAGCTGCAAAGCAAAACACCCGAAAATTCACAACTGCAAAGTTTAAACAGCTGAAATCGCAATGTTATTTTAAGCTGCATCTAGTCTCACCTTTGGAGCACTATGTCCAGTCAATTGAAACATCGCCTATCGAATGCTACGTCAAACGAAGCCCCACAGACTATTCAAGACCAGGAAACAAATTGGATATCAAGTTAATTTTAGTTGATACATTTTAAACCGATGCTGCTCCCTTGAATTATGGCCGATGGAGATCAGTGTGCTGGTTTAACATCTCTTGCTGAAACGGCAGATTATGTTCTGGATCCATGCTTCTTGCGGAAAGATACATATCCCCATATCTAAGATGGTATTTTTCATGTTGAAATCCTGTCTTTATACTCAGGCCTTCCTCAGTTGAATTAGTGCTTTTAGTTTGTAGCTGATACAGCTTACAATGATGGATTTGTATTATGCTTTGTAAGTTTGTTTTATGATTGATATACATTTGGTTGCAGAGTGCATATACTATATAAAGAGCTTTACCTTTTTTAAAAAATAAATGCTGGTTTTTGCATGATGTGCAATATAGTTTTTAAAAAGAAGCATTTCGCAGTGGTTAGAGTGTTGGACTAGAACTATGAGACCAGAGTTCAAAGCCCCACTCTACTGTGAAGCTAACTTTCAGCCACTCACTGTCTCTCGGGCCCCCACCTGCTCTATACATTTAAAGCAGCATCATACCCCTTTAAATATATATGACTTTGCCCAAAGAATCCTTGGAAGTGTAGTTTGTTAAAGGAGAGCCCTATTCCTCCCATGGAACTACAGTTCCCAAAATTCCCTGGGAAGAGGTATTGTTAAACCACTCTGAGAATTGTAACTGTGTTAGGGGAATAGGGGTCTCTCAAGTGGCACTGTGGTCTAAACCACTGAGCCTGGGGCTTGCCGATCGGAAGGTCGGCGGTTTGAATCCCCGTGACGGGGTGAGCTCCCGTTGCTCAGTCCCAGCTCCTGCCCACCTAGCAGTTCGAAAGCACACCAAAGTGCAAGTAGATAAATAGGTACCGCTCCGACAGGAAGGTAAATGGCATTTCCGTGCGCTGCTCTGGTTCTCCAGAAGTGGCTTAGTCATGCTGGCCACATGACCCAGAAAAATGTCGGCTCACTCGGCCAGTAAAGCAAGATGAGCGCTGCAACACCAGAGTCATTCGCAACTGGACTTAACTGTCAGGGGTCCTTTACCTTTTAACAACTCTCAACACCCTTAACAAACTACCCAGGATACTTTGGGGGGAAACCATGGCTGTTTAAACTGGCATGATGATACTGCTTCAAATGTATAGTGCAAATGAGGCCTCAGTCTAACCTACCTCACAGGGACATTGTGCGGATAAAATTGGGAAAGGCAAAAGTTTGATTGCAAAATTGAGCTCCTTGGGGTCAAGGTGAGATATAAAAGTAACACATAAATACATTTCTTTTTTATACACAAAAAGGAATTGTCTCTAAGAAAGAAATGCACTTCCTTTTGTCAGTTAAAGGGTCAATTCATTATATACACACACACACACACACACACACTGCTTTTTTCAAAAAAAATGTTTAGGGGTACTCTCATTTTGACTCAAGAAAATCACCATTTTATAGTTCAAATTGGGGGAAATAAACACAGTAAATGGACAAAAGTAAGAAGATTCACAAAATGTTTAGGTGTATGTGTACCCCTGCGTACCCCCAGAAAAAAGCAGTGTTTGTGTGTGTGTGTGTGTGTGTGTGTGTGTGTGTGTGTGTTTTAACATACAAATAGTGATGTGCTTATTCTAAAAGGTTATTTAGAAATGCACATATTATTTGCATAACATACATGGTTATTTTCCTGCTAATGTTAAGTCTTGAAGCACAGTTCCTGGCAGCCAGGCTGCAGGATAACCACAAGCCTGGCAGACTGAGCTATGTGGTTTAAGGGTGCTATCATGCTGCCAAGCTTGGGTTGCACCTTGATAGCTATTCTCAGAAACAGAAGTAGGACCTTCCGTATGCAGTGAACACAGGAAGCTGCCCTGCACCGAGTCAGACCATTGCTCCACCCAGCTCCATATTGTCTACAGTCTACACCGACTAGCAATGGCTCTCTCAGGGTTCAGACAGAGGGTTTCTCCCAGTCTTACCTGCCAGAGATTCTACCTGGGACCTTTGCATGCAAAGCAGATGTTCTACTACTGAGCTGCAGCTCAAATGCTCTTGTTCAGGGTTCTTGCTAGCCAGCCATTCCCTTTTCAGCAGACTGCATCTAGTTCCTTCCCTCTCCCCTGGTTTCCATCTCCCCTCCCACCTTCCAGCAGTCAGTCCACATTCTGTGACTAGGAAGCATGAACACAGGCCTGATTGGGCTGTTTGGGGGGGGGGCGGTTAGTGAGTGTACTTCTACAACCCTTAGGGTCGTCCCCCCAAGCCTCTTGATAGCAATACCAGCCTCTTGTGTATGGATGATGCCATTCTGGCTGCATAACTTAGAAAATGAGTTCATCAGTAATATGTAGGACAACTGGTACCTGCTGCAACAAAATGTTGCAGTTGGCAAGTGCTCCTGTTCAGGTTTCCAGCCACTCCCCATCATTCCATTCCTCCTCCTTCTTGTCCCCCCAGCAGAGGCACCAGCTTGCAAGGGGGGCTTCAATGGCTGGTGACTTCACTTCAACCCGCAACAGGAGTAGGAGGGGAAGGAGCCAGCCGCTGGAACTGTCCTGCAATCAGCTCCATGCTTTTTGAACATTGGGGGACCCAGCCCCTACTCCAAAAATATAGGGGGGCCAAAAGGGCTCAACCCCCAGGAGCTGGCACTCCTGCCCCCCCTCGGCGTTTCATTTCCCCCTCCAGCAGTCAATCAGTGTTGTCTACCCACTGAACATACCGTACCTTTCCGTGTTTAAGACGAGGTTTTTTTATTAAGAAATTATGTTAAAATTAGGGGGTTGTCTTATACACGGATAGTGCATAGGGGGGACGTGGGATTGGTTTCTTTCGTGGGCCGGATATTATCAGCGGCTATTGTGCGTGTTATTGGTGGGACAGACGATCGGTGGCTTTTGCGACACGTGCAAGAGTCAGCGTCAGTTAGGCAGGTGAGCGATTTTTGGCAATCCCCCCCCCCAAAAAAATGCTCAACAACTCTGCCCCACCCCAAAAAAAGCGCAACAACTATGGGCAATCCTCCCTCAAAATAGCTCAACAACTCTTGGCAATCTCCCCCCATTTTCTTAATTTGGAGTCCCCCAAAATCTTATACATGGAAAAATATGGTGCTCAGTCCTTACCGAGTTGCTTGCTTTTGTTTTTTAAAGCACCCTTTGGGGGTTCCAACCCCCCGATAAAAAAAAATGTACTTCTGCAAAGAGACGACAGGAGGCTTGTATGACATTTCTCTGCGGAACCCATATTCAAAAAAGATGAGCACCTTACTGTGAATGAAAACAGGTCGCTTTTTCCTATCTGTATTCCCCATTCTACACCCCTTCTCTTATAGATGTTTACTTTTCCTTGAAATATATTTCAATACTTAATCGGGGTCATGTGAACAATGAAGTATTTGCTGTGATGGATTTTTTTATTGGATTCAGCTGAGTCATAGTACTCAATGGGGGGGGGGGCTCTGAGAAATGTGCCGTTGGAAACAAAGCCTTGGTTTAAAAGATGAGAGATCTCCGACATGTCTTGTCAGCGTTGCAAAGTTTCATTGCAAGCACACTGCTTCAGCCACAGATTGCCATGGGGGAAAGTGAAGGGCACCAAGGGAAACCATGTTTCCAATTGCATCCAGCTAATCAGGGCTGCTGCTGTACTGAATCACAGTTCAATTTACTAACTATATTAAGGACAACAAGCAAATAACAAAGTGATGTGTCTCCATAAATAGTTCCTTAAGAGAAGGGGTGGTTCTGGTCCCATTGAAAGAGGTTATTAGATCCCCTCCCTAGACCCAGGTGGTTGTAGAAACTGTCAGCCATTTGCCACCATCCCTTTTTGTTTGTTTGTTTCAAAGGATGACAAAGGGGATGTATTTTCCTTCGAGAATCAGGCATTTCATCCTTCTGACTGAGTTTACTGTTGGTTTTTGAGCTTCAGTTGTTTTTTATTTTACTGCGGCTGGTTTTATTGCTGTTTTGTAAGATGGTGTTTTCGAAAGCTTTACATTTAAAAAACAAAACAAAACACTTTGGGCGTATGTGCCTTGAAACAACTGATCACGAACATGTGTTAAAACGTATTAAATAAACAATTTATTATACACTTTGACTCTCTTCTATCCTGTTTACCACCTCTGAAGACGGAAAAGAATGATAAATGGGATGTGTATATTCAACTGCTTGCCGGTCACTTTTGCTTGCTGGTGTGACCTACCTCAGGGATAAAATGAAGGCAAGGGGAAGACCATGTAACATGACACTGAGCTCCTTGGAAGGACAGTACAAAAATGCAATAATAAATATCATCTGCACTGTATACACAAGTAATACAAGAGCAATTTAAATATGCTTTAATGTGTGAAAACATCCTGAAAGTTGAATTTTATGCACTTATCTGAGAGTAAGTGCTAATGAACACAATGAGACTTACTTCTTAATAAAGACGGATAGGTTTGTGTTGTTAGTGTTGGGCTGTATGTGTTGCTGAAGTGAACGGGGATCTAGCAACAGCAACCAATTTACAGTACAATCAAATCAAGATATATTGATCAACCAAAATAAAGGCAGTAGCCAAAAAAATGAAACAGATTTCAGCAAGCAAGCAAAAGTAGCAAGAACAGCACATGTAATAAAACACATATAATACATAAAACAGGCATGCACATACAGAAGTTGTTTTTTTTTTACAATTGAGCAGTATATAATTTTTTATGAAATTAATTAAATGATTAAGTATAGAAATACATGGGGTTACATCATACACTTGAGTTTATTATGCCAAGCTTAGACTTCTTCTTTAATGCAACAGGAAATGCAGTTAAAGCTAAGCTATAACCCAACAGAGACTCAGCTCCAAGGCATTGTAGTTAGCAAGAAGTCAGCCAACCATACTTCAGAGAAGAATGCTGTTAAGCACTAGAAGCCTGCAGCTTGCTAACTCCCACTTTGGGATC